ATACACATTATATATATATATATATATATATATATATATATATATATATATATATATATATATTTATATATATATATATATACTATTTAGTTATTTTTATAATTAATTTTTTATATATTTTTATTTTTATTTTACATCTCCTATTATTGAAATAACTCCTGAAGTTTTTAATCCAATTTCAGTTTAAGATATACCTATTTCTATTCCTTTAGAAATCAAGATTTTATCATTAAAATTTTCTATATTATTTTAATTCGACACAAAATTTATTATATTTATAAAATAAGAAATATATTTTTGAATTTTTTCTGAAAAAGATATTTCTTTTTCTAATTTTTTTATTGATAATGGTTAATTGAATACTTTTCTATTTATGGATTCTTATTTAGTTTTATTTCTATTTTATTTTAGTTATTATTCATGTCTATTATTTCGAATTTCGGAACATATTTGAAGTCTACTTCTTTATTTTTTTTATATATTTGTCTTTTAGTTAATTTTCGAATTAATTCCTCGTTCGAATGTATAATTGATATAGTATTTTTACGTATTATTAAATTTTTATCTTAAGTTATTTTTGATTCTAAAGGATCCTGGCATTCTATTTTACCTTCTATTTGTTAGTATAATAATAATATTTGATCATCATTCAATATTATTTAAGGATTTTATGTATGTTATTGTTGTTAGCTTAATATTTAGTTTATTTATTGACGAATATCGGTTGGTGTTTTATTCTTTAATAGATTTATTTTAGAAACTTTTTGGTCTATTTCTTATATTTTTTTTGATGTATGATATATACCATAAGATGAGAATATAGTTATTATTGACAAAGATATAAATAAAGTTTAATCTTTTTAAAAATCTGATTAATAATTTCCCATATATTTTTTTTATATATATATATTTTTAATTAAATAAAAATAAAAACATTTATAATCTTTTTTTTTATATTATTAAAAAATAAATTTTATATATATTACTTCAAAAATTAAGTTTCTAACTAACATTAATAGAATAAAATATTAAATTTAACATATATAAAGTTATTTACTATTATTTCAATTTTTTATTTGTTTTTAATATTTTAGTGAAACAATAGATATTATATAGATATAAAAGTTAAAAAGAAAATGTTTTTGTATTCAAAATATATATTAAACTATTTTTTGCTTTTTTTGTTTCTAAAATAATAATTAATTATTGCTTTTTTGTTTAAAAATATGTTTATTTGATATATTTTAAGTTGTTTTAACATATATTTTATATATAATTCTTTTTATAATGTTTTGTTTTTTGTTTAGTTTCTTTTTATAAAATTAATAAAAAATATAAAAAGGTAATAGTCTATTATTTTTTTCTCTATCTCTATTTTATTTATTGCATTTAAAAAGCAAATTATTGTAATAATGACTAAAAGTCTAATATTTATATAAATATTTTATTTAGATTAGATTAAGTATTTTTTATTTTAAATATAAAAAATTCATTAAATCATTTAAATTATTTACAATATATTTTTAATTTATAATAAAATTTTAAATATAATTTTTATTTTGGGATGGTTTTTTTTTAAGTATTATTGTATTAGAAATTTCGTTCATTTATTTGTTGAAAATTTAATTTAGTTTAGCTTTTTATTTTCCATTTTTAAAAAAATAGTTTTAATCCTCAGAAATTTCCTTGTAGTTATGTTGTATTATTTTTTTAGTTTTATTAATAATTTAATTGTTTATTATTTCAAACTTTTTTATGTATTCAAGTATTTACTTTTAATATTGATTTAATTTTAATTAATATATTTAATAAATTTACATTTATTTTAAATTTTAGTTATATATATATGCTTTATTATATGATTGTTAAAACTTAATTTTAAATATAAAAAAAAAATTATATTTATTTTTTGAGTTTATGATTATTATCGTTTATTTATTTATAAATATTTCGATATTCACTTTATTTTATTAAATCATATTTTATTTTTTAAAAATATTAAAATTATTATTATTATTAAATTTATTTATTAAATTTTTATAAATAATTAATTTAAATTATCATATTTTTTTATAATTAAACTTTTTTTTTTTAATTATATACTAATATTTTATAAAATCTTTATATAATTAATTTTTTATAAAAAATAAAAAATTATTTAAAATAAGATTAAATTATTAACAAATATTTTTTATATTAAAATTAAAAAAATAAAATTATAATAAAAAAGATTAGTTATAAAAAAAAATATCAAAATTATATTATTTTATATTTTATACCAATAATATTAAAGATTAAAAATGTTTAATAAATATTAACTAATCAAAAAGATTAATTGTTATCAATTTATTAAAAATATGTACCTTCACCATCTAAATTAGGATCTATAAATTAAAATAATAAAAATAATAAAAATAATAATAATAATAATAAATAATAATAAAAATAATAAATTTTTAAAAATATTTTACTTAAAGGTAAAAACCATAAATAATTTTTTTTTCCAAAAATTTAAATAAAATTTTTCATACAACCTATATCATATTTCTTTATTTTTATTTTTATTATTAAAAAAATATAAAAATTTAAATTTACATGTCTATCTTTTTTTTCTCTGAATGTTCAATTGTTGTTTTATTATTAAAAATTAATCTTATTTATATGTATATTTTTAAAATTAAAATTAATCTTACATCATATGAAATACAATTAAAAATCCCACAATTAATAAAACAAAAACTATAAAATAAAAAGTAAAAGCAATTTAAAAAATATCTAAATATCCTAAATTATAGCTTACTAAAGAATCTAAGTAACAATTTAAATAATTAAAAAATGAAAACAGTAATATAAGACCTTTAAACATATATAATATTATAAAAGAAATAATTTTTTACTTGCATAGATAAGCATACATACAAAATATTTATAATTATAAAAACCTATACAATTATCAACCCATTAACAATGATGATCCATTTTTAAAATGCAAGTTTTACATTATGAACAATGATGTGTTCGCGGAGGTTTCATAACACTATTTTTTATATATATAATTATATATATATATATATATATATATATATATATATATAATTACTTAATACACTTTTTACATTAACGATATTCACGAGCTTATATTTCTTATTAAACATGCATACAATATAATTAATCTAATAGTCTTTGAAATTCTTCTTAATCATATATTTCTAGGTTTTCTTAATTTTGATTTTCAGAATTATTTTTTAAATCATATTTGTTTTTATCTATAAGATTTTATTATTCTTGTATTTCATCATAGTAAACTTCACTTTCACTTCTTTCGCTTGACTATTATATTATAAAGATAGTTAATAATGATAATCTATATATATTATTTTTTAGTAATATGTACAATTTAATTTTATTTTTTAATTGCTTCTTTAGGAGAATCAGAATTTAAGTTATTTATTTATATATGTGATTAAGGAGATTCTTAATTTGAAATTTCGGTGAATAGGTTTATATTATTTTAAAATTATTCTTAATTATTTTAATTAATTTCATTTTATGATTTTGAATCTTTACATTTTTTTTTTTAAAAAATAGTTAATTATAATTACTTTTTTATAAATCTATATATGTAAGTTTATATTTTTCTTTAATAGAAGTATACATTTATACTTATTATTATTTTAAAATATTCATAAATTATTATATTTCCTAATTCCATTATTTACACTAAAAAAGATATATAATAATAAATTAAAAAAAATATATATAAATATATTTATATATATATATAAATATATGTATATTTATATATTATTTTAATATATAAGTATTAATATTAATACATCTTTTATATTTCCAGGATTCGTTATTGATGTTTTAATCATTGACCATGTCATTAAAATTGCAAGAAAATGTATAATTATAAACATTATTATTCCTTTTTATTAATTATTTTTAGCTTGTAAAAAATTATAAAATTATTTCTAATATTAAATTAATTAAGTTTTATAGTATAATTATATATCTTAATTCTTTATTGTATCATAAAAATCTTCTAATTAATAATCATCTTACATAAGAGGTATCATATATGTCTTTTTTTTATGTTTTTTTAATTATGAAATTAATTTTACAGATGAAAAATTATAATAAATCAATAATATTGTAACAAATAAAATACATTAAGGTATTTTAGAACATATTTTATAATATGTTTTATGCTTTTATTCGTTTTTATATACCTAATTATCATATTAATTCATAATTTTTATATCTTAAATATATCTTATGAGTTTTTATTTTATTATTATAATCAATATATATAAACTTGAAATATTATTTAAGATTATAAATCTTAATTTTATATTTTGTGTCAAGTTTTTAATTAATTAAATTATAAATATAATTATTCTTAATTTTTAATTCGTTTTTAAATATAAAAAAAAATATATATTTTTATGTATGATAAAATGTACTCTCAGAAATATAAAATAATAAAAATAAGATAAATTAGTTTATAATATTTAAATTATTAAAAAAAGGAATTTTTATAATTTAATAATAATTTATATAAAATAAGAAATTATATTAAAAATAAAATATAAATATATTAAATTATATATATATATATATATATATTATTTATATTATTTATATTATTTGCTATTTTTTTTTAAAAAAAAATCTAATTTTTAATTCAAAAGATATTTAAATAATAGAATTTCTTTTTATTAATTAACTAATTAACAAACTAACATAAAGTTTTTTTAAAATAATTTCTTCAAATATAAAAAAATAAATCAAATATCTATACATAAATTTTATATTATTATAATTTTTTTTTTAACATATTCGAAAAAAAAAAAATATTAAAAAATTTGATTATTTTCTTATAAATTATTTTAAATATTACAAAAAAAATATAAATAAAATTTCTTAAAATTAAATTAATTTTAAATAAATGATAATTATAATTATTTAAAATAAATCTTTTAATAAAAATATAATATTTTAAAAATATTATTTTTTATATAAATTAATATTATAATTATTATATTTATTTTATTATTTCTAAAAATATTTTTTTTAAATAATTATATTTATTAATTTTTTTTATTTATTAAAAATATTATAAAATTATATATAATTATTATATTTTTTTTTCTCAAAAAAGTAAAATAAAATTAAAATTAATTTTAATAAAATATATCTATTATTAAAATTCTTTATTTATATATATAAAAAAAAAATAATAAAGTAATTTTTAGTTAAGAATTTTAAAACTTCTCAAAAAGAATTTTTTTATAAATTTTTTATTATTATCATAACAATTGTTTATTTTTTTGAATAATCTATAATTATATGCTATTAATATTTATTTTTGTAGAATTTCTACTCGAAAATTTTTTTAACTTCCTCATATTCACTTTATTATTTTCTTATATTCTTCTATATAATATTTTCGTATTATTAATTAAAGAAATATATTTTTTTTCGATTTAAAATATAATGGTGTATTCTTATAAATATATAAAATTTAAATTTATGATAAAATGAATTCTTAAATTTTTATTTTAAATTAAAAACTGAATTCATTTAATTTAAAGGAATCATAAAATTTATTTTTGGTATTTAAAATTATTTTCATTAATATAATTTTAAGAATGTTAAAAATGAAATATTGAATGTATAATAAAAGCATCAAAACTATGAAAAAATTATAATAAAAAGCCATTTATGGGTATAAAATGTATTTTTGGGACATTGGATTATTATTGAGTTTAAAAAAAAAGTAAAAATTTTTTTTTTAGTTTTTTTTATAAATAAACATATGTAAAATAATATATTATTTGTCTCTGTTCTCAAAAAAATAATTTTATATTTTTTTTTTTTTTTTTAATTTTAAAGTTTTTTTTTATTTATTAAAAATTTTAAGAATCTTTTTAGTTTTTTTTCTTATTCTTTTATTTTATTTAATAATTTATTATTTTGTTTTCTATTAAATAAATATTTTTTTAGTCAAGATATTTTATTTGTTTATTTTATTTTTTATATAAATTTTTTTATTTAATATTCTTTTTATTGAAAAAAACTATTTTTTTAAATTTTTGAAAAAAAAAAATATCAGAATATTTTATATATTTTATTTTTTTAAATTTTATTTTAAATATATAATAAGTTTAGTTTGAAAATATATATTTATTTAGACATATTTATATCTATAAATTTCTATAATACTATTATTTAAAAAAAAAAAATTAAAACATTTAAATTATTTGTCTTGAAATAAAAATTACAAATTTAGAAATAAAATATATTTTTATTTATTTTATTTATATATTATAAACCATATATTAAAAAAAAAAATATTAATAAAAATAGCAAAATCAAAAATAAAATAATACAATTAATAAAATATATAAAATAAAAAAACCTTATATAATAATAAAAATAACTCATTTTTATTTTTAATTGTTAGTATTTTCTCCATCATTAAAAGTTCCTTTTAAATTTTCTGATTAATTATGTATTCCTAAAACTGCTCTTCCACTCTCATCTGTATTTTTTTTAAAGCTCTCACACCATTCGAGTGCTTTTTCAGTCGAACAAGCTATACTTAAAGCATAAGGAACAGTAAGTGCTGCTTCTTTAGAAGGGAAAAACTCCTCAAAGCACTTTCTATACCAGAACTACTCTTTGTTTCTAGGTGTATTTACTTCATAGATTAGTTCTCTTTCATTAAATTCCCTATCGGAAACAACTGTTTCTGAATATGCAGTAATAGAATCTCTCCACATATATCCTACTCCATCTGAGAATTGCTCTTTTTATCTCCAGAGGATATCTGGGGGTAAATAGGGATTTTTCTTATCATTAAAGGCACTTCTGAGGATGAATTTCTCGATATTTTTCGGGAAATTTCTAGCTAATTTATCATTAGGATCTATTGACATTGCATATTCAACAAAGGCTTTATGCAAGAAAGGAGGACGGACTTCTAAACCCCAGGCCATAGTTGATTTATTGGCTCTTAAAAGGTCATATTTGTATAAGTCTTTAACTTTTCTGACACATTCTTTGTGTAGTTCTTCTGCATTAGGTGCTTTATGGAAGTAGAGATATCCAGCGAATAATTCATCTGCGCCCTCTCCGGTAAGACAGTATTTTATTCCGAGAGATTTTATGTGTCTGGCTAGTATATACATAGGAGTTGAAGCCCTTATGGTTGTATTATTGTAAGTTTCAGTATAATAAATGACATCAGGGATAGCATCTATACCCTCTTGAGGTGTATATACGATTGCATGATGTTCAGTTCCTAAGAAGTCGGCCACTTATTGTGATGAGGTAAGATCAGGAGAACCTTCAAGTCCTATACAGAATGAATGTACACGATCCATTCCTCTTTTTTTGATATCTATGATTCCCTCATTTACTAATCTGACAGTAATAGCCGCTATTAAAGAACTATCGACTCCTCCAGATATAAAAAGACCAAAAGGTGCATCTCCTTGTAATTATTCAAGAACAGCTTAAATTAATCTTTCTCGAAGTTCCCTAAAATCAATTTAATTTTTAGGAATATATTCTTCTTCATGCCATATAGGTTTATACCATTAAGTAGGTTTCATATTATTATCAATATAATGTCCTTTTTTAAAAAAATAAATAAATATATGTATGAAAATAAATTAATAAATACCTGGTAATAAAATTTATAATTAAACACATTAATCTTCTATTACTTTTAATTCTGAAGCTATATATACTTCACCATGTTTACCTTAACCCCAATACATAGGAATAATACCAACATGATCTCTACATGCAATAAACTTTTTAGTATTATTATCATAAATAACTACACCGTACATACCTTCTAGTTATTCCCACATATCTTTAGGCCCATATTCTTAGTATAAAGCACCTATTACTTCACAATCACAATGGCCGTGAAGAGGATATTTTTCAGAGTACTTTTTCCTTAAAACTTAATAGTTATATATTTCTCCGTTTGTTGCGAATGCTATTTAATCTTTTCCTTAAGTTTATAGGATAAATGGTTATCTACCATTTTATGATAAGTCACATATGGATAAACGCTCGTGGCATATTATGTTCCATACTCCAGGTTCGACTTCCTAATATTTTTTATATATATATTTATATTTTTTTTTGGAATTTATTTGTTTATTTTACGTATATTTTTATTCCAGAGGAATCGGGACCACGATGTTTCATTCTACGGGCTAGTTTAGCGGCTAATGCTCTTACTACTTCGTATTTACCGACTATATTAAATATTCCGAGTATACCACACATTTTGTATTTTGATTAATTATTTTTTTAATTAGTTTTTTTTTTTAGATATAAAAATTTAAAATTGATTTTACTTTTTAAATTAAATAGATTTTTAAGTTTTTTTATTTATTTTTTAATTTTAGACACGTATATGTACGTATTAAATTTTTTGTATTTTTTTGTTTAATATTATTTATAGGCTGCATACTCTAGTAATATTGATTAATTTTATTAAAAATCTATATTTATTTTAATTTGAAAAATCTATATTTTTATCTTATTTATAATATTTTTATAATTTTATAAAAAAAATACAAAGATGAATAAAAATTATTATAGAAGAAAAAAAAATTATTATTATATTTTATAAAGGTTTAATAAAAAAAATATGCTATATAAATTAAAATATATTTTTTTTAATATAGAGAATCAAGATAAATTATTTTATAAGGCATATTATATATTTTTATTAATTATATATATTTAATTGAAAATTAAATAGGCAAATATTTAATAAAAAAAAGAATTATTATATATAATTTAATTATATTTATACATTTATATTTTTGTAATTTTTTTTATTTTTATAAATATTTTTTTTTATATTTAATTAATTTTTATTTATTTGTAAATTAAAAATTTTATAAAAATAAATAAAAATTAGTGTTAATTATTTAAGATAAAAATTCACTAAGTATATAAATTATATTCTTTAAAAAAAAAAATACAAAATAAAAATTTTATTTATTAATTATCCTTTTTTTATTTATTAAGAACATAATTATATAATAAAATAATTTATATTTAATTTTAATTTATATTACAAAAAATAAAATAAATATATTTATTTTTATCAACTGAAAATTTTTATTAGTGATTCACTATAATTATGAATTATAATAATATAAAATTTAAATAAATTATATAGATTTTTTATATTCATTAATTTTTAATTTAATATTTATATTTAATAAAAAATTGCTTATTTTATTTGATTTAAATTAAAAAAAATATTTAAATTTTTTTTCTTTTTTTTTCTTTATAGATTTATTATTTTAAAAAATTAAAATTTTATTAATTAATATTTTTTTTTCTTTATATTTAACAGATTTTTTTTTTGTTATTAATTAATTTTATTTAAATTTTATTTTTTTTAAATATATATAAATAATATAGCAGAAAGTTTTTTATTAAATTTAAAAAATATATATATA